CAGTCCCAGTCTCACTTTGCACAGTCAGCAAGTACCATGAGGGACTGTGTGCACCATGGGCCCTGTGGAAAGAGGCAGACCAACGAGCTACAGAAGTATAAATCACGAGGCAGCGCCCAGCCATTCATTCATTCTGCGGGGTGCCATGCGGAAGCACTGCCCGAGCGTTTGTGCGAGGTGGTCTGCAGGAGCCCGAGGTCGAAGTGGGCAGAGGGGAAGTTAGCTGTTAGTGGTGGAGTTAGCAGGCGGCCATAGCCGCCAGGTTAGTAGTAGCAGTGTGTGTGTGTGTGTGTGTACAGTGAGTGTGCGCGTGTGGGGTATTCAGGGTGATCCAGAGTGGAGTGCGTGTGTGCGACAGTGTTGGACACAGTGATGACAGCGGATGTACAGGGCGCCTGTACGCCATAGCTTGTGGGACGAAGTTTGCATCTGAACAGTGTTCGCGACTTCCACATCTCTGAGTTTTGAGTGGGTGTCTAGCGCCAGCCTGTTTGCCATCTGTTGTATGCATGCAAGTTGATGAATAAAGAGAGTCTGATTGCATTGGTATCGGAGCTGGTACCCGTTACGTCGCGTGCCATCGTTGTCAGGCGCCATAGCTAAGCTACGCCAAGAAGAAGGAAGGTTCACCATAGCCGCGCTGTCGAAGAAGAAGACTGTCCGCCGAAGTTGTGCTGCGGAAGAAGGCGTCGCGTACCTGCAAGGAGGGACAACGAAGGTGAAGGCGGACATAGCCGGGGGTGACGAAGAAGACAAAGGTGAGGGAGAAGAAAGGTGGCGAAGGTGAGAGAGAAGGCGGCGGCAGCCATAGCCGAGTTGGCCGACGACCTTCGCGTTGACCAAGGAGTTGACTGAGCGTTGACCAGAGGTTTGACCAGTGCTGACCAGCGTTGACTAGGCGTTGACCGGAGCTGCTGACCACGAGATTGACCAAGCTGGAGTTGGTATATTCTTGCCAAGCCTTCAGCCTATTCCCTTGCCCTATGGATGTGCACTTACCCCATGATACTTGCTGAGTCTGTCTGTCTCTTCTTTTTGCATTGAGTCTCTTCTGTCTAGGTGATAGGAACTCCGTGGATGAAGGATAGAGCTGCGTTGACCAAACCCACACAGGCTGAGTAGGGCTTAATTCCGTGTCTGACGACTGACACGTTCCGGAGGACAAACCCTCCCAAGGACCGGTACTGACTGGCGGGCTGAACGGTGTGGCACGGGCGGCCCAAAATCCGAGTTGTGGGCTGCACAACCAGCTGTCTAAGCGTTGAGAGGACTTGCTGATCGCGTCGTCTTGTCTGCGACGTTAAACAATTCTTGAGGAGTTATGGAGGATCTCCTTAAATGCCTCCTGATCAGCGAAGAAGTCCTGTAGTGACAGCTTAGAAGTAGGTCTAGGCTAGAGACCATAGCTGACAGAGTCTGAACCAGAGTGAAAGCCAGGTGGGATTGACCGCAGGTGCTGGGCAACTGAGCCTGGTTTGTAAAGGACAGTGGTGGCGAAAGCTTCCGTCGGCCGTGGTAACCTGGCTGGATCGAAGAGGTGAGATTTTGTGGTCCGTAGAGAGTCAGTCAGTCAGTTGAGTGGGTACGTCTAAGTGGTGAGGAGTGGGACAGTTTTGTCGTGCTCCTGGACACCATGGACGACTACCTGATGTACGGCTTGCTCATGGGGTTCTCCGTCTGGGGGACCCTCTGGCATCTTCTCTTTCCACTGGGATTCTGGCACACGATTGCGTGTAGAGTAGAGACGAGGAGTGGTGCGGGGACCACTCCTTACACCCAGGTGCAGGAGGAGGAGGCAGCGAAAATTCTGGCTGAGCAGAAGGCCAGGAAGGAGAAGGAGGAGTTGGTCAAGCAGGCTAAGAAGATTGCCCTGCAGCAAGAGCAAGCCGCCAAAATGAAAAAGTTACAGGAAGAGATGGATAGAGTGAAGAAGGAGGAGGAAGAAAAGATGAAGGTTGTGGACACAGAAGAGGTGGAGGAAGAGAAGGAGAAGCAGGCAGAAGCAGAAGAGATTCCCCTGATAAGAAGGTCGGTGAGAGAAAGGGGGGAATCTAGTGGCACGAAGGGGGACCCATGGATAGAGAAGAAGGTGACTGAGTGGGTTGCCAACTTGTCACTGGGGGAAACTGAGGAGGCGATGCTATACGTTCCCCTAGACGAACAAGAGGCGGTGATAAAGGAGATAGAGGCCGAAGCAGATCCTCTTAAACGTCAGACGATAGAGGAGGAGAAGAAGTTGGAATGGAGATTGCGTCTGACTAGGGAGAAGAAGAGGAGGATGGAGGAAGCTGAGAAGGTGGCGAGAGAATTAGAAGAAGTCAAACAGCAGAGAGCTCAGCTAGAAGCGCAGGCAGATATACAGGGGAAGATGTAATGGCTAGGAATATATAACGTCTGGCAAAGGCCGTTGACGAGCAACAGTTCTTTGCCAGAAGTCAGGACGTCACGTTGCGATCGATCCGTCTAGGCTTTCGAGAGTTCGCAAGGGACATGATGGTCCATGTAGGCACGGAGATGAAAGCTAGACTAGAAAACACAGAGCGATTCTGCACAGGCGCCATTGAAGGTGCCAAGTTAGTTGCGCCTAAGGAGGAAGAACGGCGTCCCCGTAGAGAGCCAGTAAAGGTGAAGTTCCCTGATCCATATAGTGGGAAGAGGGAGGAGAACTTCGATAACTGGGAGGCGAATGTGAACTCATATGTTCACTTACAGATGATTTCCCCTGAGGAACAGGTCCTCATCGCCTTCCACGCTCTTAGGGATGAAGCCGCCAGTTTTGCGAGATCGCTCTGTCGTGCAGCCAACTGCAATAACGACATGGTCGCATACTCTCAGTTTACACCCCTGAACGACTTCTTCAAGTTACTGCGCGAAAGGTTTGCAGATGTCACACGAAGCGTTAGAGCTTCTGACAAGCTGCAGACCATCCACACTCGCCACTGGAAGAGTGCAAGGGCACTCAAAGGTGTGATGGATGAGCTGGTCGTCGTCCCAGACCATGGGGTCACAGAGACCCAGTTGGTCAATCTGTTCTATCGTGCCATGCCCGAGTCTTTACGCGGGCACTTCTTTGAGAAGAGTCGGGATCTTGCCATGACCTATGATACGTTAAGTAGGGAAGTCGTGGCATTCGAAGCGCAATCCATGCCAGTTACCACTTTCTGGCATAAGGACTTAGATAAGGGGAAGAAATGGTAAGGCCGCACCATTTCATGACAGGTCAAGGGCAAGGATCACCTGATCCTAACTTTAGATGAGGGCAGCATGGAAGAAGTCCCCTACGATCAGATAGAGTGGGGGCTTGAAGAGGAAGAAGGGGACAGTAGTGCAAGCCAGGGGAGGACTTACGCTGCTGTCGCGGCTGGAGGGAGGCCGCAAGGAAGAGGAGGATGCCGGGGCCAAGGGGGCCAGGCTTCAGGTGGTTGAAGGCAGGGCGATCAGGGGGTTGGCGACAGAGGTAACCGCCAAGCGGGAGGTAGGGGTCAAGGTCCCCCGCAAAACTGCTCTAGCTATAATCGGTCATCATATGGAAGAGGAGGATGGCATCCTGGGTTGCCACAGGGTAGACCGTGGGATAACTTGGGCTTGGAACAAAGTGTTTGGCAGCAGAGGATTGACCGGGATCAGTGCATTTACTGCCCCAAATATAGGGAAGCCCGAGCAGCAAAAGGCAACCGCCGATAGGGGTGGCAACTGCCCCTATCCCAGGGCCATGTAGGGAAGAGCGCGCGCAACAGAGAGAAACTCCCAAACTGCATGAGCCCATGTCAGAGGTTGCTGGCCAGTGCCTAGATAGCTGTCCGGAGACTGCTTGTGTTAGAGTCTCTCTAGGCACCTCCCTCACAGGCGTGGCAGAGGAGTTGAAGGAGAGGATGCCCGCCTAGGCCAAGATGAAGAAAGAGGGAAAGGGACAACTAGTATTAGTGGATGTAGAGATTTTTAGAGGCAGAGAAGGGGCCCTTATAGATAGTGGGGCCACGCGCAGCTATATTAGTAGGAAGGCGCTGCAGAAGTTGAAGTTGGGGTTGAAAGTTCAGAAGTTAGAAGACCCTATTATTAGTATCCTCGCAGACAATCGCACAATGCAAATCGAGGAATATGTAGAGGGAGTCCAGGCATATTTTCGCCTAGAGCAGGATGGAAAGGTAGAGAAGGTCCTCCATTCCTTGACTCTCCTCGTAGAAGACAACCTCCCATTTGACATAGTCGAGAGGCAGCAGGGGCCACACTCCATTTGAGAGAGCATGAGTGTAGGCTCCCTAGTCCGTCAGGCGAGGTTAAGACGACCCGCCTGTTTCATGTGTCAGGAGTAGATAACTCACTGGCACATTGCTGTCTCAGTGCTCCCGCGTTCGCGCGATTGGTGAGAAAGGAGCAGTTAGAGGATCAGGTCTTCGTAGCTTATATCAGACCTGTCACTGAGCCTAAGGAGGACAGCCCCATGGATCCAACCATCGCCAAGCTGCTGGAAGAGTTCGAGGATTTAACCGAGCCGCCAACAGGAGTAGTGTCGCGACCGATCCAACATCGGATAGAGATAGAGCTAGGCAGTAGGACTCCTAAGGGAGCAATTTACAGAATGTCCCCAAGGGAGTTAGAGGAGCTGCGCAAGCAGTTAGACGAGCTTCTCGAGAAGGGTTGGATTAGGCCCAGTTCGTCTCCTTTCGGAGCACTGGTTCTTTTTGTCCCCAAGAAAGAGGAAGAGTTGCGGATGTGTATAGACTATAGGGGTCTTAATGCTATTACAATGAAGAATGCAGAACCACTGCCCCGTATAGATGATCTATTAGATCGGGTGCAGGGCTGCAAGTACTTTTCAAAGATAGATTTGAAGTCTGGATATCATCAGATAGAGGTCCATCCTGATGATCAGTACAAGACCGCATTCCGGACTAGATACGGGCACTATGAGTTTATAGTGATGCCCTTTGGACTAACCAACGCGCCAGCTACCTTCCAACGTTGTATGAACGACTTGTTTAGACCATGGTTAGATAGATTCGTAGTCGTATATTTGGATAATATCTTAGTGTTTAGTAAGACCCTCCAGGAGCATGAGGGCCATCTGAGGCAGGTCTTGGAGAAGCTGAGAGAAGCTAACTTCAAGATCAACACGAAGAAGTGCGAATGGGTCAAGACGCAAGTTCTATACTTGGGCCATGTGTTAGATGGAGATGGCATAAAGCCTGAGGATAGCAAAATAGCAGCGATCAGAGACTGACCGACGCCCCGCACACTAACAGAATTGTGGTCGTTCTTAGGCCTAGTTAATTACTACAGGAAGTTCGTGAGGAACTTTTCTACTATCGCTGCGCCCCTTCGCAGATTGTTAAAGAAAGAAGCAATCTGGTGTTGGGACAAAGACTGTACTTCAGCCCTGAAGAAGCTAAAGCGGGCCTTAATAGAGTACCCAGTCCTCAAGGTAGCCAATCCATCATTGCCCTTTGTTGTCACAACTGACGCAAGTCAGTATGGAATAGGTGCTGTGTTGCAGCAAGATGATGGCAATGGGTATAGACCCGTAGAGTTCATGTCTGC